CACACACACACACACACACACACACACACACACACACACACACACACTTGGTGACTTTGCTGAGGAGGGGGTAAAGTTGAGAAAGTGAGGATGGAAGGGAACAAGGCAAAAATAAAGTGCATTTGAGAACTACAAATTCTTGGAACATTTAGGTAAAATCTTCCCACACTGTTTGAGACTTTTATCCCTAGGGGATAATTGTGTGATCTGTTATGGGTTAGGCATTGGATGCTTAAGCTTCTGAACTAAATGCAGTGGGACAGATACCCTAGATCTCTAATGAGGTCCAATGACCTAGGGGTTCAAAGAGAATCCTGGGATAAGAAGGCTTTTTCATAATTGTGGAATGGTGAAAGTTTATACAAATATGTACTGAGAACACACAGGCTGGGCATGCTAGCTCTGCTTACATTTGAGAAATGTAACTGGGATGAGGAGACTAGCACTTAGTGGTTTGGGTTTATGTAACTGTGTAATAGAATTTTAGGAGGATTGTTTTTCATCATTATTTTAATTAGCTTTCTAAATACAAAGATTATTATTATTTTTAAAAATTTTAACACTGTTTATTTGCTGGACTCTCCCCCTTGTCCAAATGAGACTCTTTTGAAAAAACCAATACCACAGTTGATGTAAAACACAGTATACAAACCTATGATAACAAGATTATCTTTAAGGGGTTTCACATTATTCATGTGTAGCAAAAACACTATTCCCTTTACATCTTCAGTACAGATACAAAGAACTACTGAATGTGGAAAGACAATTTAAGAAAACTGATTCTTACCAGGTTCAGCTGTGGATCGAGGTTCTGCTTGCCACATCAGGGAAAAAGTAAGAGAAGAAAAATTATTAGAATAGGTTACATTTATATTAAGCATCCCCATCCTTTTGATGACCTTTACAATGCTCAAAATGTTTTTCTTTCTTTCTTTCTTTCTTCCACCCACCCATCCATCCATCCATCATCCATCCATCCATCTCTTTATCTATCTGGAAATCTCAGAGAAGATACAGATCAGCAATTGTTCTGCAACTAATATATTTAGAGCACCCATTCTTAACCTTTTGTGTGCCATGGACCCCTAGGTAGTCTGGTGAAGCTTATGGACTCCTTTTTAGAATAATGTTTTTAAATGCATAAGATAAAATATATACAATTACAAAGGACACTAATTATATCAAAATAGTTATAAAAATATTTCCCCATCCAAGTTCACAAGCCTGCTCAAGTCTAACCACAGATGCTTTGGGGTCCATGAACCTTCAGGTTAAGAATCCATATCCTAGGGGGTGGGTCGGTGGCATAGTGGATAGAGTACTGGCCTTGGAGTCAGGAGGACCTGAGTTCAAATCAGGCCTCAGACAATTGACACTTACTAGCTGTTGGACCCTGGGGAAGCCACTTAACCCTATTGCCTAGCCAAAAAAAAAAAAAAAGAATCCATATCCTAAGACACTTGAAGGCATGGAGAGATCGTTAGGTTCACACAGTCAGAGGCAGAAGTAGAACCCAGGTCTTTATGACTGACACCAGTTTTTCAGCCATGATTCTATGCTGCCTTTCTTCCTACACATACACACGCATGCACACAATGCACACACATATCCACACACATGCACATGAACACATGCAACACACAAGTGTTGTTGAAATATATTAGTTGCAGAACAATTGCTGATCTGCATCTTCTTCTCTGAGATTTCCAGACAGATAGATAAAGAGATGGATAGATGGATGGATGGATGGAAGGAAGACAGACATGCAACACAAGTGCACAATGCACACAGCACACACGAACATACATACACATGCACATATGTGCACACAGATATCTGTGAAGCACACACATGCGCATGCACACAGCACATAGTTCCTGGCACACAGTAGATGCTTCATAAATGTTGGTTGACTCACATACATATGTATGAGTCTTGCCCCTAATTTTTATTAGCTATGCTACCCTGGACATATCACGTAACCTGTCATGTACCTCAAGCAGTTTCCTTTCACTTACTTTTCTGTAAAATCCGAAAGTCTGGAGAGTCCTGAATTTCAATGCCTTCTCGAAACCATGTGACTTGCAATGGGGGTGCTCCTCTGACCCGGCACTCCAGGACAACCACTTGTCCCTCTGAGGCTGTAATATTTTGCAGTTCCTGAAATTTTAAGGAAATGCTCCCAATCAAACTTTTGTCCTCCCCCCTCAATTAAACAGAAGAAAAGAAGCAATTATAATACAGAAAAATGAAAAAAAAAATTAGGTCACAAAATAATAACTGGTGAATCAAGTGGAAATTAAATCAGCAGATCATCAGGTTTTTCTAAAAACCAATTTAGTTACATTAGCAAACTGCTTTTTCAAATGGTTTTTGAATACCATAAACCATGAAATAAATTGTATTTGTTCTGGCTTTATAATTTTCACTGCATTTTGCAAAACATTTATTAATTCAATCCTTATCTTTCTAATTATTCCTCTCATCCTATTGCTCTTCAAGCCACTAGGCAACTAGAATACAAATTTCTTTCTATAATGAATGCATTCAGAGTTAACAGATTCCCATAAAAACAAAATACAAAGTTTACACAATAGAGAAGTCAGTTTAGTTTTAAACAAGACCAATTTTTTCCCCCTCTTCTTTCTTCCCTCAGTATGTACTCTCTACCTCCCAGCTCTAGGCTTCTTGAGGAAGAGGGTAATTTGGTATAGTTTTGTTTTCCAGGTTTTAGTAAGGCAATAGTGTACTGAACTGTGGGACCACCAAAAAGAAGCTTTAGAAAACCTTACCTAGATAAGAAAGTAAGTTAGTTCTGAAGTTATAATAGAAGAAGTAGATCTTTTGTATGTGATATCAAAAATCCAAAGGTGCAAAAAAAAAATACACCCTTTCCCTTTATTTATATGTCTCTAAGATTAGCTAACAACTTAAGGAAAATCTGAAACTTTTAGTCCATACATTGGAGCCTACTTAAACTTTTGGAAATGTAAGTGGTATTAGTTTCATTACTTAGGCTGGACAAAAGGATACCACACCTTATAAATGCCTCTGAAATATTAGGAGTCACTAAAAGGTAAGCAATGATTTTTGGGGAAGAATATTGTATACAGACCAAATGGAAGACTTTGTATTAAGAATTGCACTCTTATTTACATCCTGGAGAAAGGAATCATTTGACAAATTGCCTCTCTAGTTTTGTAAGTCTCCTAGGAATAAGACTCTTTGAACAGTGTGTTCTGGGATGCTAAATCTGGAAAAGGGTGTGTGGTGGTGGTGGGGAAAGATCGGTGCAATTTTTGGAAATTAGATCAATTTGTGAGACTTCTAAGTGAAAGAATGCATTCTTATTCACCATTTCTGATTATTCACAAAAGTGCATTTATATAAAGTTTCCATAACTTCTGACTATCAGAGTCTTGCAACCTCTGGAACAGGGTTACAGAGGACTCAGATTTGTCAATGATGAAGCTGTCAAATGACCTTGTGACAATGTTGTCATTGCTCAATTATTCCTTAAGACTTACAACTGATAGCATAGACTTTGCCCAGAAATATATACAAACAGGGGAACAGAGACACCCAAAGATAGTCATCTAGGAATCAAACTTCTGAGAGCTGCACTATTTTGTCACAGACAGATATCACCTGGATGATTTGCTCTCTCTTCTGATGATTCTATGGTATAGGACCAGTTTAGAAATACTGGCCCAGAAGCTTCAGCTTGCTCTCCTTTTAGAAGCTGGCCATGGACTCACTGTTAAGCTGACTGACTGTTTCTGCTGTCTTCCTGATCCTCATCTCTACCTATCTTCCAACTTGTGGTAACACTTTCTGTTTCTTTTTCTTTTTTTTTAGGCAATTGGGGTTAAGTGACTTGCCCAGTGTCACATAGCTAGTAAGTGTTATGTGCCAGATTTGAACTCAGGTCCTACTGACTTCAGGGCCGGTGCTCTATCCACTGCACCACTTAGCTGCCCCAACATATTCTGTTTCTTATGGGGAACCTCTTAGTTTCATTCAGTTTTATGACTAGGGGACAGGTTCCATAGAAGAGTAGCTTCAAAGGATTATTTCAGGGTAAGTGTTGCTCATGGGGCTTGGACTATCAGCATCAGTTTGTTAAGTGGGAAGCAGCATGGTGTGGTGGAGAAAATGCTGCTGCTTCTAGAGTCAGAGCTCCTGGGTTCATATCTCTACTCTTCTACTTGTTATCCTTTGTCCCTTAACATTTCTCATCTGTAAGATGAGAGGGTTGGGCTAGATGAGCTCTATAACCCTAGATCTAGCGCAGATTTTATGTAAGAGGTAAATAATTTTAATTTTTGAGTCTTTTGAGGCACTAAATAATCTTTTGAGATCATTTTAAGAAGACAGATATTCATTTGGCTTAGGAGATATTTCATTAAAGAGGCACAGATTCCATAAACCTTGGATGCATTCACCCCAGATTCCAAGGCATTGAGGCAGTCAAAACATTGGTTAATAACTTGGCTCCTTGGAAAGGGAAATGGTTTTTCTTCCTGGCATAAGCCATAACCAAATGCATGAAGCTAGTTGGTAAGGTTTGTAGCCCTGGAAGAATTTAGTGCAGGACCAAGGGCCAATCTTACCAGACTGATTCTGGAAGGAATAACAGCCCTCTGGCAGTCCGAGAGACCACAGAACTGACTCAGAATCTACTGACATGCACAGCTTCTTGATTGATCAGAGAGATTTATTCTCTTCCTTGGGAGTTGCTAAATCCTAAAGAGTAATCATGTTCTGCCTTCTTGATACTGTTGAAAGATAGGGAGCCGGTTTCTTTAACCAATAGCCAATTCTCTAAAATTCCTTTTGTACTTGTAGTCTGTGCCAAACAATTTGCTACACAATTCATGGGTAGTGACTTAGTGGAAATAGCCCTGGATTTGGAGCTACTAGCCCTAGATTGGTTTGAATCTTCACTTTGTTTTTACTACCTGTGTGACCTAGGGTGTGTCAGATAACTTTCTTTTGCCTCAGTTTCCTCATCTGTATATAAGGAGGTTGTACTAGGTCTTTGAGGTTCCTTCCAGTTCCAAATGCTTTGGTCTCCAATTGTTCTTCATATATATTTTTCTCCATATGTCTTATTTCCCCCTAATTATATGGGAAATACTTCCACGACTGCTGCTTCTTCCTTACACTTCTACAGTACTTGACAGAGTTCTGTATATATAGTAGGTGCTCAATAAATACTGGTTGACTTGGCTACAAAAGGGTCATTAGCATATACATCAAGCAATGTCCTACTAAGATACTACAGAGCTGTTTATTTTACTTTTAAAATTCAGTGTTATCCTATGTCCAACTTGTGCCAGGGACTAAAACAAACACGTAGAATGAACATAGCAGATCTCAAACCTTTGTAAAAATGGGAAGAGTGTACCCAGAATTGGCTCCATCTAGTCGGCAGAGATACGAAGTGGGACTCTGAACCTGAAAAATCAAAATCCTTTTGATCACAATGTTAAATACACATATAGTTGAAGATGGGGGTTAGGGGGAGAGGAAGGGCAATGCTTTCATCAGGCAATTTGGCCCTCTGAAAGAAACCCCTGCTATAGCCGATGCTCCTGAGCTGCTCCAAGAATCCAAACCTAGTAACTTTTCCCTATTATACATCTGTTACATTCTAATAATCAAGATGATATTTACAGTAAAATATTTCTCCTTAGGGGAATTGTGTGTTTAAAAGCTATTTCCAAAAGGATTCTGTGTCTGGAACCCTGTAAGAATTTTATTTCCACAGTTCTCAAATGTATGACATTCTATATGCATATATATTCAAATAGGGTCTGAAGTTGGTTATTAAAAATAATCAAGTTCATTGCATTAGCATTATAAAGGAGAGTTAATTACCTTACATTTAATGATCTGAAATGTAATATTCACTGTCATTGTTAGCCAGTATTAGAGGCAGGATATTGAGAGAAGGATTTTGTTGTTATTGTTGCTCAAGAAAAGGAGGTGTCACAACTCCCACTGAGTGATAATCCCCACAAGGAAAAATGGTGTGATTTCTGAATTTGTTGAAAAGAAAGACCAGAAACAGGTATGTATTTTGCATTAGCCTAACTTTCTCAGAATCTGGATTTGGGGGAGCCAAGATGGCGGAGTGAAAGCAATGACTTGCTTGAGCTGTCCCCCAAACCCCTCCAAATACCTGGAAAAAAATGGCTCTAAACAAATTCTAAAGCAGCAGAACCCACAAAAAGACAGAGTGAAACAAATTTCTAGCCCAAGACAACCTGGACGGTTGAGCAGAAGGGTATATTGTGCCGGGTGGGGAGAGGAACACAGTGGGGCGTGGGCGCACAGGCTGCAGCGAACCTGGAGCAGGCCTCAGAGGACTGAATCGCAGGCAGCTGTGGTGGTTTCCAGACTTCCCAACCCATGAACACCAAAGAGAACGTGGAAGGTCAGTGGAAAAATTCTGTGACTGCGGTGAGAGAAGAGCTAGGTCTCAGCCGCAAGTTCCGAGAGCGGCCTCTGGGGCAGTGGCTGCCTCCTGAGCTTCTGGCCCACAGAGTGAGGGGGAATCGAGTGGCTGATCAGAGGGGGATTGGAGGGATCTCTTTGCCACTGCTGAGGCAGGAATCTCTTGCTCTGCCCATGCTTGGATCTGGGTCACAGTTCTGAGTGGGGGGGGGTCCTGGGGTGAGGAGGAGTGCTAGCGTGGTGAAGCTTGTTGTGGAGGTGGAGAGGAAACACCTCGCCCCTGATCATACCACCTTGAAAGAACTGAAAATTTACAGGTCCCTAGAAGTACCTCTGAAAACAGCTGAACAAACGCCTGAAGCTTGGGCCAGTACACTCTTCACATTGGAAGCAGACTTTTACCTTAACAAAGAGTTTAAAACTCAAGTAATTGGCCGGGATCATGAGTAAGCAGCGCAAAAAGAGTCAGACTATATTATCTTACTTTGGCGACAAAGAAGATGAAAACATACAACCAGAAGAAGACAACAAAGCCAAAGCTCCTACATCCAAAGCCTCCAAGAAAAATATGAATCAGTCCCAGGCCTTGGAAGAGCTCAAAAGGGATTTTGAGAAGCAAGTAAGAGAAGTAGAGGAAAAACTGAGAGTGATGCGAGAAAATCATGAAAAACAAGTCAACAGCTTGCTAAAGGAGACCCAAAAAAATACTGAAGACAATAACACCTTAAAAAATAGCCTAACCCAAATGGCAAAAGAGGTCCAAAAAGTTAATGAGGAGAATGCCCTAAAAAGCAAAATTGGCCAAATGGAAAAGGAAGTCCAAAAGATTACTGAAGAAAATACTTCCTTAAAAATTAGAATAGAGCAATTGGAAGCTAGTGAGACTTTATGAGAAATCAAGACACTCTAAAACAAATCCAAAAGAATGAAAAATTAGAAAACAATGTGAAATATCTCATTAGAAAAACAGCTGACCTGGAAAATAGATCCAGGAGAGAGAATTTAAAAATTATTGGACTATCTGAAAGCCACGATCAAAAAAAAGAGCCTAGACATCATCTTTCAAGAAATGATCAAGGAAAACTGCCCTGATATTTTAGAACCAGAGGGCAAAATAGAAATTGAAAGAATCCACCGATCTCCTCCTGAAAGAGATCCCCAAAGGAAAACTTCTAGGAATATTGTAGCCGAATTCCAGAGTTCCCAGGTCAAGGAGAAAATATTACAAGCAGCCAGAAAGAAACAATTCAAGTACTGTGGAAACACAATCAGGATAACACAAGATTTAGCTGCTTCTACATTAAGGGACCGCAGGGCATGGAATATAACATTCTGGAGAGCAAAGGAGATAGGATTACAACTAAGAATCACCTACCAAGCAAAACTGAGTATAATCCTGCAGGGGCAAAAATGGTCATTCAGTGAAATAGAGGACTTTCAAGCATTCTTGATGAAAAGACCAGAGCTGAATAGAAAATTTGACTTTCAAATACAAGACTCAATTGGAACATGAAGAGGTAAACAGGAAAGAGAAATCATAAGAGACTTATTAAGGTTGAACTGTTTACATTCCTGCATGGAAAGATGATATTTGTAACTCATGAGACCTTTATCAATATTAGGGTAGGTGGAGGGGAAAAATTATATTTTTATATGTGTGTATATATATATATATATATATATATATATATATAAATATCTCAATATATAGATAGATAGAGAGCACAGGGTCAGCTGAAGATGAAGGGGTCATAACTGGAGAATAAAATTAAGGGGTGAGAGAGGATTACACTAGGAGAAGGAGAAAGGGAGAGGTAGAATGGGGGTAAATTATCTCACAAAAAACAGAAAAGAAAAGGCTCTTACAGTGGAGGGGACACGGGGGAAGGTGAGAGGGAATGAGTGAATCTTATTCTCATAGGATTTGACTTAAGGAGGGAATAACATACACACTCAATTGGGTATGGAAATCTGTCTTACCCTACAGGAAAATGGGGGGGAAAGGGGACAAGAGAGTAGGGGGATGATAGAGAGGAGGGCAGATTGGGAAAGGGTGTAATCAGAAGCAAATACTTCTAAGGAGGGCCAGGGTCAAAAGAAAGAATAGAATAAATGGAGGCGGGCAGGATAGGATTAAGGGGAATAGAGTTCGTTTTTCACAGCATGTCTATTATGGAAGTGTTTGGCATAACTGCACATGTATAACCTATATTGAGTTGCTTGCCTTTTCAGTAAGGGTGGGTGGAGAGGGAGGAAGGGAGAAAATTTGGAACCCAAAGTTTTAAAAACACATGTTTAAAAAAATGTTTTCACATGCAACTGGGAAATAAGAAATACAAGAAATGGGGTACAGAAATCTATCCTGCCCTACAGGAAAACAGAAAGGGAAGAGGATAAGAGAAGGGGGGAGAGATAGAAAGGAAGGCAGAGTAAGGGAAGGGGTATTCAGACTGCATGCCATCTTGGGGTGGGGGGAAGGGTGAGATGGGATGAAAATTTGGAACTCAAAATCTTGTGGAAGTAAATGTTGAAAACTAAAAATAAATAAATTAATTAATGAAAAAAAAAAAGAATCTAGATTTGGGATATGTATTCCTAAACTTAATTATGTACAACTTACTTAGGTTGTTACGCAGCTAAATGTGCCAGGGAATCACATAGGTGAAGCAGACAGATTCAGTGGAGCTGTGAGGCAAGATGTTGAAAGGAAGAAAGTTTTGATTTAGGGGTCAGGATAACCTGGGCTAGGCTCCTGCCTCAGACCCCACAGAGGGTACTCAAAAGTATTAGTGAAATTCCAAGTTATCAAAGTTTCCAACTGCACTAAGATTTTTGAGAAGGGAGGAAGGAAGTAAGGAAGGAAGAAAGGGAGGGATGAAAAGAGGGAGAAAAAAGAAGAAAGGAAGGAAAGAAGAGAGAAAATCAGGAAAAGAGGGAGAAATGAAGGGAGGGAGGGAAGAAGAAAGAAAAGGAGAGATGGAGAGAGGCTTGAAAGAAGAGAGGAAGAGATGAAGGAAGGAAGAGAAGGAGGGATGAAGGGAGTACAGAAGGAAGGGAGGGAGGGAGGGGAAGGGAGGATGGAAGGAAGGTATTGCTATTCACAACTGCACTAATACTTTTGGGAAACACTATACAACCTTAGGCAAGTCTCTTAATCTCTTGGTTAATCTTAATCTTTGGTTCTTCACCTGCAAAGTGGTGGAAATAACAGCATCCAGTTCCAGAGAGTGCCTTGGAAACTTTAAAGTGTTAAATAAATGCTAATAATAATGATAAGAAGAATGATCTTTACTTGGTACAATAGACAACTCTCTAAGACCCTAAACTGCTGATCAGTTGCTAATCTGCAATGGCAGAGAGTTTTCTCACCAAGGATTCCCCACATTGATGAAATCACAGATCTAGATGGACATTAGTTGTAACAGATGTAAGGTTGGATTAAAATTCTGAAGAATCAGAGGATCAGAAATCTAGAGCTGGAAAGGACATCAGAGGCCATCTAGTCCAAACCCTACTTTTACAAGTGATGAAACCAAGGTACATGACTTGTCCAAAGTCACATCGGTCATAAGTAGGAGAGCTAGGAAGTGAAGTCAGGTCCCATGACTCTAACTTCAGGGCTCTTTCCAATGCCCCGTACTGATTTCTGTGTGGGAGTTTGGGGGTGACGTCTTGAATCTCCTTCTCAATCAACAAATTAATTAGTAAATGAATTTTTGAGCCCATGCTAGTAAAACCCAATGTACATGTAAATTTGAAGCTTGTGGAAGAAAGCTTGTGAGTACCCTGTGATCTGCAAATCTCACATATCATAGAATATAGCAACCAAGCACTTAATGAGTTCTCAACAAATTAAAATGCCCTGCATGGATATAATTCTGTCTTTTATAGACAAGCCATGATGAGGGATGACTTTACAGCTTAAGAGAATGAAGAGAGACCCTTTGTAAAAAATGGCAGATTATCTTTAAAAGGGATATTCATCATGGTACTCTGATACTTTGATTTTAATATTGTCTATTTCTTTTAAAAAGCAAGCTTAACATCTCTTAGACTGGCCGTAATTATAAATAGTTTATCCTTTTCCTCTCCATTGAAAAAGTAATGAAGTAAAATAAAAGTTAGAATTGCAACTAGGCATTCTTTGAGGAAAGGAGGTTGGAAAGGGCAAGGAAGGTGGACAGTGAGAGTGAGGAAGGTGGGGTATTAGAGTTCCACAGTGGAAATGAGGAAGAGTGGTGGAATGGGGGAAAATCCAACAGTGGTTGAAGTTGTGCTGGAGAGAAAGTAGCCCTCACATAGGCAGGGTCATGAAGGCAAGTCCCTAGAAGAGAAGCATCTGAACCATGGTGGGGTAAGAGAACAATGTCATGATACAAGAAAGTATATAGAAGACTAAAGGGATGTGTGGGAACAGTAATCTCCAAAAAGTACAAAGCAAGTTGACTTTCCTGGGAAGAAAATACATCCTCCTGGATATTAGAATCTTGAGCCAAAATCCTAATGGCCTAATCCTAGTTACACCTTTGGTAAAAATGTACAACTTTATGCAAGGAGAAATTGTTGATTGCTAATTTTACTTATTTTATTGCTTGTGTAGCTCCCTGTGGAGGATGGGGAAAATGGTCATGTGTACATATACTTTTGGGATTCATATTTGTAAGATTCAACTAAATGTTTTACGTAATTTGTGAAATTGTTTGTTTAGGAATGGATTCTAGTTTTTCAGGTATCTGCTGGTTGAGAAGAGGAGCTCCCAATGGAGAAAATGTCTAATGAGTAACATGTTTAGGAATTAAATGGGCTGAAAGGAGGGAGAATTATTTCCCTTTCGCTTATTGTTGCTATTCATTGTATTAGGTATTTCATCTTCAGGGTATGTTTATTTCTCTTCAGTCTTATTTCCACGTAGACAGTAAGCAGATCAAGTAGAGGTCTAGATCTGTTAATAGTTACTAAATCCCAGTACATCTTAAATAGAACATCAGAATGACCATTATATTATATTAAGGGACTAGTTATAACTATATACATATTACAACTAATATAACAAGTTATATTGCTAGTGAGTTGTGGTTATAGAATAGACATACCTGCTGAACAGGAATAGAGATGGGCTGAATCACAGCTGTAGTCACTCCAGTCTTTGGGGAAGATGATCCTATTGTTAAGGAAACAGAGGTTGTTTTCTTTTGGGCTCTGAAAATATGGGAAAACAAAGTGTCAGTCATAAATTTTACAAGGATTCACTGCATCAAAACGTGCTTTTTCCTAACTTGTCTTTGTTGGAGGATGAGCTTAAATTTCAGTTTATACATTGAAAATGAAGTGTGCCTCAGCACAATGGGAGTCTGCCAATCAAATTTTAATAACTTAATAAAATTTAATAATAAAATAATTTGATAAAATATAATGAAATTTTAATTAAATTTCGATCACTGGTATAGAGTTTGAATGGATTATTGTAGACTTTTAACACAAGAGACACAGTAGAGAGAAGTAAGATGCAAACAACTCAGCCATTCTCAAAAGAAGAGTTTTTTGCCTTACAAATCCTAAAGGATAAGAAAACACCTGGCAGAATTCCAATCTCCATCAGTGAGCAAATATATGGAATCATTTAAGTTTGGGTCTCAAAGTTTTGTTTTGTTCTTCTAAATCTTCCAACAGCTGGTCATTGTTCCAACTTCTAATTTTGTAAAGATGACAGTATTTCGAGATCCTTATCTTTTTTTCTCATAACAGAATAACTCATATTTATATTGTACTTTAAAATTTACAAAACACTTTATACAAATTATTTTATTTGAGCTTCACAAGTACCCAGTGGGGTAGGCACTTGAGGTATGGTTTTCTAATTTGACAGATGAAGAAACTGAAACTCAGAGATGTTAAATGACTTGCCAAATGTCACACTGCTAGGAAGTATCTGAGACAGGGTTTGAAGGCTGGTCTTCCCGGCTCAAGGTCCAGCACTTTATATCATGTTGCCCCTGTTTATTAAAGCTAGTAAATGGATATATCGGTTGCTTCTTTGCTGATAGCTTCAAAGTTTTATTTGAACAAACTCTGGATAATGCAATGCTTTTTATGCAAATCTTCTTACAATTTCCTTCCTCCTTTAGGAAGGTGAGCCTCCCTAAATAAGACAACTAAAGACTATGAAAGAATTCTATATCTATTTATATAATATTGTCTTTGAAATGGTTTTAATGGGTGATACACTTGACTTGGCTCCTTTAAAAATAAACTATTACCTCTTACCTTCTTGAAAACTCACTTCATGTTCAATGATTATTTTTCTATCTACAGTATATCTATCAATCAAGAAGCATTAATTGAAGAACGAAAGGTCAAGAATATCAAGGGAATCAATGAAAAAAAATGTGAAGGAAGGTGGCCAAACAGTACCAGATCTCATATTGTATTATAAAACAGTAATCATGTATTTGTAACTCATGAGACCTTTCTCAGTATTAGGGTAGTTGGAGGGAAATACACACACACACACACACATAGACAGAGGGCACAGAGTGAGTGAGTTGAAGATGAAGGGATGATATCTAAAAAATAAAATTAAGGGGTGAGAGAGGATTATACTGGGAGAAGGAAGAAGGGAGAGGTAGAAATTATCTCACATAAAACAGACAAGAAAAAGCTTTTACAGTGGAGAGGAAGTGGAGGGAGGTGAGAGGGAAAGATTGAATATTACTCTCATTGGATTTGGCTTAAGGAGGGAATAACATACACACTCAATTGGGTATGGAAATCTATCTTATCCTATAGGAAAGTAGGGGGGGAAGGGGATAAAAGAGGGGATGGGGATGATAGAAAGGAGGGCAGATTGGGAAAGGGGATAATCAGAAGCAAACACTTTTGAGGAGGGACAGGGTCAAAGGAGAGAACAGAATAAAAGGGGGACAGGATAGGATGAAGGGAAATACAGTTAGTTTTTCACAACATGACTATTATGGAAGTGTTTTTCATGACTACACATGGATAACCTGTATCTAGTTGCTTGCCTTCTCAATGAAGGTGGGTGGGGAGGGAGGAAGGGAGAGAATTTGAAAACCAAAGTTTTAAAAACAAATGTTAAAAATTGTTTTTACATGCAACTGGGAAATAAGATATACAGGCAATGGGATATAGAAATCTATGCTTCCCTACAGGAAAATAGAAGGGGAAGAGAATAAGAAAAGGTGGCGGGGGGGGTGATAAGGGCAGATTAGGGGAAGGGGTATTCAGAATGCATGCCATCTTGGTGTGGGGGGAAGGGAGAGATGGGGAGAAAATTTGGAACTCAAAATGTTGTGAAAGTGAATGTTGAAAACTAAAAATAAATTAATAAAAAAACAGTAATCAGAACAATCTGGTACTAGCTAAGAAATAGTGGCACATCAGCTGAATAGATTAGGTATACAATACACAGCAGTAAATGACATAGTAATTTAGTGATGATAAATGCAAGATCCAAGCTTTTGGGATAAGAACTCTCTATCTGACAAAAATTGCTGGGAAAACCAGAAAACACTTTGGAAGAAACTAGGTATAGACCAGCATCTCACACTAAATATATCAAGATAAAGTCAAAACAAGTACATGATTTAGACATAAAGGGTGATAGCACAAGTCAATTAGGGGAACACAGAATAATTTACCTGTCAAATCTATAGGTAAGGGAAGAATTTATGACCAATAGAGAACATTACAGGATATAAAGTGGATAATTTTGATTACATTAAATTAAAAAAGTTTTTGCCAAACAAGACCAATGTAGCCAAGATTAGGGAAAGCAGAAAACTGGAAAGTTTTTTTTAATAGCAAGTTTCTCCGATAATGTCCTCATTTCTCAAATGTATAGAGAATTGAGTCAAATTTATAAGAATATGAGGCATTCCCCAATTGATAAATGGTCTAAGGAAATGGGCAGTTTTTGGAAGAAGAAATCAAAGTCTATATCTATAGTCATATGAAAAAATACTCTAAATCAAGATTAATTAGAGAAATGAAAATTAAAACAATCCTGAAGTACTACTATACGACACCTATCAGATTGACTAATATAACAGAAATGGAAAACAACAATGAGATATGGAAAAATTGGGACACTAATGCACTGTTGGTAGAGTTGTGAATTGGTCCAACCATTCTGGAGGGCAAATATTACTACTAGGTTTGTAACCCAAAGCAGTCAAAGAAACGTGAAAAGAAGTAATTTGTACAAAAATACTTATAGCAGCTCTTTTTGTAGTGACTAAGAACTGGAAATCCCCCATCAATTGGGGAAATGGCCGAACAAATTGTGGCATATGATTATGATGGATACCATTGTGCTATAAGAAATGATGAGCAGGATGCTCTCAGAAAAAACTGGAAAGACTTACATGAACTGATGCAGAGTGAAGTAAGCAGAACCAGAATATGGTGAAAGCAATATTGTATAATGATTTATTGTGAATGATTTAGCTATTCTCAGCAATACAATGATCCAAGACAATTCCAAAGGACTTAGGATAAAAAATGCTTTCTGTCTCCAGAGAAAGAACTGATGGAATCTGAATACAGAAGGAAGCATACTTTTAAAAACTTTGTTTATTTTTCTTGGTCTTTTTGGCTGTATTTTCTTTTCTTTTTTTTTTTCTTTCTTTTTTTGTTTTTTGGTGAGGCAATTGGGGTTAAGTGACTTGCCCAAGGTCACAAAGGTAGTACGTGTCATGTGTTTGGTCTGAGGTGGGATTTGAACTCAGGTCCTCCTGACTTCAGGGCCGGTGCTCTATCCACTGCGCCACCTAGCTGCCCCTGGCTGTATTTTCTTTTGCAACATGACTAATATGGAAATATGTTTGGCATAATACACGTGTATAGTCTATGTCTAATTGCTTGCTGTCTCAAGGATGGGGGAGGGGAAGAAGAAAGGATTTGGAACTCAAAATTTTTAAAAAAATGAAAGTTATAAATTGTTTTTACATGTAATTTGAAAAAATATATAAAAATTCATATAAAGAAGCATTCATTAAATTATACATGTGTATACACATATATGAGATGCAAATATATGTCAAATAAATATGAACAAAAGTATAGTTTTTGAAGGGTAGAGGACACTGTAAACTGGAGGGATTAAAAGGCTTCATTAGCAGGGTTTTAAAAGATACAAGAGGTGCTAAAAGGCAGATTCCATCCCATCTCCTCCAACAGATTTGTCCTTCTCTGTCATTCTTACTCTATCACTTATTTTCAATCTCTCCCTTTCCATTGCTGACATTTTTCACTACAGAGATTATCTTCATATTATTAATGGAATTAATAATGGTAGAAGTGGGAAGGCTGTCGTGGGGAGGAGTTACTTACTGTGGCATATCTCCAACTTTTGATTTGAAAGCTAAACGTTCACTATCAGAATCTGATGAACTGGCTCCTGGAAGAAAACAAATTTAAAATGCATCTTAATAATAATAATAATAATAATAATAATAATAATAATAATAATAATA